CCGAGGGAACTTCAGCAGTACTCCCCTGATGTCCTACACACTGAAACTCGCCCCAAAACACAGAACCCTCCGGAATGGCCCTTTCAACCCCCGTGTCTCGGAAGTTCTTTATCAACCAAACCACCGCACTCTTCCGAAAGGCCCGAGCCACGCAACTGAGAAAGTTCCACTCTGCAGCAGCTATCCCTAACCACCCAGCTACCGACCCGGCGTGCAAGCGGAAAACATCCTCTAGCCGAAGTAAGCTACCGGATGAACGAGAAGTAGTCCCCGAAGGCACTTCACCCCCAGGGCCCGTAACCCAGTCAGGCAAGGGCCCGTAGCGCTGCTGGAAACTAGGAGGCTCTAGGACCCCCCCGGATTCCAGTGCCCTTCTTACCCGCGCCCTTTGCACCAAAGTAAGCCCAGTACGCAGTTCCTCTGCCCTTAAACTGGCCTCTGCCTGGGCCCATCCTGCCTCGGTAAAGTCATCATCTTCTGCCAAATCTTCTACGGGAATAGGGGGACCTGAAACTGGCTCGGATCCTAGAATGACTCCTTCACCCTCGCACGAGGGTCCTTCGGGCTCCAGCAAGACTGAAGGCTCACCCTCTGTTTCAGCCTCAGCCCTCTCAGACTCTACTTTTGAAAACTCCGGAGTCACCCAGACCCTGTCTCCGCCCTTAAGCCTCCACCAACCCCAAACTAGGCAGACAACCGTAACAACAGCCCCGACACACCAATGAACCCAACGGACCCCTTGCTCAAGCGGCACTTCAGGCTGCCCCTTCACACGCGGAAGCAAAGCCAGAATTGCCACGCCTGCCAGAAGTTCCGCATGGGAGCTTTCTGTCAGGTCGCACGGGAGGCTAATCCTACTAAGAACTCGAGCAGTCCTAGCCGCCTCTACGTCCTCAGCCTTGCCTCTAATATTAATCAAACCCAAAAGCTGCACTAGCCTACAACGAGCAAGCGGCTTTGTACCTAAATCTGCGACCTGGTACTCCCCCGGGAGATGAGAGACCCGAAGCAAGCCCGCTTCGACCCGCTCTCTTCCGGACACTGCCCGCATCCTCAAGTGACGGTTGCGCCACCCCGTGCTGACCGATTCAAAAGAGCGGATGGCAGCTTCGTTGTCTGCAAGAAGAGCGATTATGGAATCATCCTCCAAGAGTTCATCAATTAAGGGCTGTACCGCCTCGGCCAACTGAACCCCATGGGTCATGCATACCAACTCCGCTTCCGCTGAACTTAAAGTCGTAAAAGGCTGCCGGGTTGATTCCCACGCGACCGGCACGCCCCTCCACACAATAAACACCGACTGCATGGAACGATCTCCTCCCGGGCTATGCGAGGCATCAGTATACAATTCTAGCACCTGGTCCGTTCTTGGCAAGGACAACAGCCCATGCTCTGAGAACCAGCTGCCGACAGAAAAAGGAACATCTATTCCATAATCCTGCGTACCCTTTAAGTACCCCAGCACTTGCTGTCCTAGGGCTATTGAGAACTTGGGTGCCTTCGTGGCTTGTTGACCGCATCGGCTAACAGCATAAGCGATATCAGGACGCGTTCGAGTGGATACCCATAACAGGGCCCCAGTTATACCTTGAGCTTCCCTCACATCCTCAACTGTAGAAGCATCCTCCACATCCGGCTCCACCCATTTGGCAATTGGTACAGTCGCCGAGGTCGTCACTTGGTAACGGTTAACCAACTCCCTCACGTAGGCAGCTTGGCTCATCCGAAAGCCCAGTGGCCCCTGTGTTAGCTCAATCCCACAGAAAGTCACAGGGGTAGCACCCAACCACTCAGGATCCGAGGTCTTCCACTTGGCCTGCACCGTCGCTATAAATGCCTTGCATAAGCCCAGAGGTCCAAAGAAAGCCAGGTCGTCAACATAGACAACCAGTATTCCACTGAACTCGCCCAGCTCTCCATCCTTGACCAATCTAGCCAACCACAAGGCATCGTCGGACTTCAGCTGACACAGCTGATAAACCTTCCCATCCCAGTGAATCTTAAACTCCCGGAATTCGCCGTCTCTGTAACGTCCCCAGTCCCGAGGGGAAGTTGGCAACCCATACAATGCCTTGCGAATCCACCAGCGATCCTCCTTTTTTAGGATGCCCAGTTCTACCAACAAGTAGGGGGGTTTTACGATGATGCGCTCATCAGTCCCCTTAATGTCGCTGCGAATAGGCGCATACAAGAAGGCCGACTTTACATCTATGGTTACACCCCGCCAATCCCGATACCTAGCTGCAAAGGTGACAGCGACCTTAAGGGAGAGAGACTCTGCACCAGAGGCATACAACTCCTCACGCGTGAGACCCAACTTGTCTGTTGGTAGATGGTTTCCACAGCAGACAGCTCGAAATCGTCTTTTACCGGTCCCTGACTTCCTTGTTAAAACAGCCTTACCTGGGAGTTGCACCACGGTAACACCCTGCGCAATCCAACCTTCCACAGTATCAGAATGTACACGATCTACTGCTTTGTTCACAACCTCCAGGCTGGTTACTTCCTCTTGGGCGGCATCCTTCCAGCACCCTAACTCCTTCTTGGCTTCGGCTAAACCAATTGTCCGGGTTTGTAAGAACGCATCCGTGTGTGGAGGTTCAGGAGCTATCGGAACACCAACCTGAAGGGTCCTAAGGCTTCCTAAAACATCACTCGAGGAACCATCCAACAAGCACCCCTCCAACCATTCGGTCAGTACCTCTGCCCGCCTTAGCTGGGCAGCGATAATCCGAAGCTCCTCAACTTCCCCGGAAGCATCGCAAAGCTCTTCAGCAAGGAGGCGACACAAGCGGGAGGAGTCCTCGTGCCACCGACGCCAACCCTCTTCGGTACACCCTTCAAGTATCGGCAACGGCAGCCCAACCTCCCAAGCTACCTCAACTTCGCTGCCCCCAACACTGGTAAGTGCTTTGGCGCCGATGCTCGAGGAACCCTCTCCACACCGCTTCGCGGCTTCAGCTGAAACCCCTTCAACGGGAAAACCTAGACCCCGTAAAACCTCCCAACCTTCATCATCATCCTTCAAAAGGTCCCTGGGAGTAAAAGCGGAAATCACCCACCTTACATCACCTTCCCAGTCTTCAGGAGCATGCCAACGCTCGCCCGGAAACATCACCGAACCGGAATGCACATCATGCACGACCCCAAACCGTCTACTCCCATCCGGAAGCACCTTCCCAACACTACCCTCATTACCATCACCTTCTACCCACAATCCACCTCCTAGGAAATCTCCTAGAGCCCTTACCCAAATAGGAAGCCCCCTCGCATTCCGCAAATCCCGGTGGATGGGCATATTCAGGTTCCTAGTAACATACAAGGTAGTCCAAAGATGCTCAGGGTTCTGACTCGCAACAAAGCGATTGAGATACCTAGTTACCTCCGGGTACGAATAAGAAGCCTTCGAAACACCCCTAAAACCCCCAACACCGTAGAGACCCAACAGCACGGCTCGACCTCTCCCGGCTCCAACAGGCCTAGTGGCAACCGGCAACTTACCCAAACCCTCCTCCAAGACCCGTAGACACTCACTCTCAGAGAAACTCTCCTCCTCATCAGTATCCCAGAAACTAGTTACCTTAACCTCACCACGTTTCAAAACCCGAGCTTCTTCCTCAGAGAGCCCGCCCTCAGGTTCCTCAAAGCCATCAACTTCTTCAAGAAAGAGCCCACCACCCTCCGAAAGAACCTCAACGAGCTGCCCCTCCGAAACATCATAGAGTCTCTCTTCCTCTTCAACGGCTTTTTTAAAGAACCCCCTGAAAGACTCCCCCCCAGGTGTCAACCTGGCACAATCTCCCTCAGCATGAATTGTCGCAAGTACGGTAGCTGCTGCTACCCTAACCTCAAAGTCAGGGGAGCGCTTTCCGACGAGCCGATACCGAGGTTTTGGCGGGAACCCAGCCCCGCCTCTAAGCGGGTACACAGTATTGGTCAACAGCACCTTCCGAGAATCCCCGTCTGGCACCAACACTAAATGCCCTCCCGGAGTGCTCGGTGCGTGACCTAAGTAAACACCCTCAACCGTTCGGGATTCCCATTGGGCTTGGTAACCAGTACGTGCTCTACGACGCGCGTGAATCCGAACTCCAAACGGCAAAAGGTGCGGCTGCGGTATTCCAACCGCAGAACCGAAGTTGATCCAATTACGCATGGACGCATGAATAAGAGCCAACGGCCAAAACTGTTTGCCTATCTGGGAGACTAGCAGTAGCTTCCGAACCGACCCTTTCAAGGCCTGTACCGCAAGCTCCGCCCTATTCCCTGCCGGGCTCTCCCCCGCAGTCCATGTGCAATGGATACCCTTAGATTTCAGCCATCCTACTAAATGGGTTGAACGCAATTCCTTGGCTCTATCAGCATGATACCTCTGAACTGGGAACCCAGACGCCTCTAAACGATTAACGAGCCCCTGAATTTGCCCCATCACCTCCTTACCTCCCTTTGTCCGAAGAGGAACCCCAAGGAATAAAGTAAGGTGAGTCCTAGGGGAACCAGAAGCCACCCCCGCCGGAGATTCCAACTCTTCGGCTCTCTTCTCTCGCACACGGTGAGTCACGGCCTTAACCCCAGACACCTCCCACTGAGGAACCTTAAACAGGTCGTCAATTGAGCCCAACTCCCCCGTAAGCGAAGTTGGTACCGGAACAAAATCCCCTGGCTCAGAAGGTTCATAATCTCCATCTTCATCATTCTCCCAGCCCCCTTTCGTCCCTGAATCCTTGGGCTCTGAATCCGGACTAAACTTCGAAGGAATGGCATATGAGCCCGCAAGGAAGTACTTATAGTTCCCCCCTTTATCCCTTCCACTAGCCTCTACATCCCAAGAGGTACCCAGTACAAAGGGTCCCGAAATATCTACGCTGAGTGAGTGAACCCCAGGGCACGAACTCCTCCAATGAGACCGCTGTCGTCCCTGGGACGCGATACACACTGGACAACCCTTACGATAAGGCACGTGATCCTGAGCCTCATGACGAGAAACCTGCTCTGCCTCTGTCATCTTACGAAGCAAAAGTTGTCTCTGGTTACTCTCATCTTGCTGCCCTCGTTCCCAACGCCACCTAAACCATGCCCCTTGGATCACCCTCACTAGAACCATTGTCCAACCACACTGACTGAGCCCCATGCCTTCTGGACAAAACTCTTGCATTGCGTTTAGAGCCACTCTCTCATCCTCATCAGCCCTTACTTCGTGAATCATTTCGTACAGGGACCAAGACGAGGTAACTATACGCGACTCATAAACCCCAGGAGCCCCAAAGCACCCTTGATCAAAACGGGCCCCGTGAAGCCCGTAAGCCCTTACAAAGCCCGAAACCGGACCCCGAACCCTTTCTAAACCTTGGTACTCCAGAGCACCCTGTTCAGGCGCAAAAGCAAGAAACACGCTGCTACCGGGCAGCTGCTCAACGTTCCCTCGACAGTTAACAGCCGCTTGTCGAAGGGCCCAGCAAGCCAACACTAGCGGATCTCGAATACCATCAGGAGAACCCGTAGAGGCCCCTTCTATGCCACCTACACAGGTATCCTCAACTTCACCAGAGGGGTCCTTCTGCAGCGGCTGTTCCCTCGCATCCTGCGAGGCCTGTGCTACCGCAAAGACAAGAAAAAACCGCAGCATCCGAATCACACCATCGGAAAGCTCAGTAAATCCTTCCGGACTGTTTGCCTCTGCCATAACAGCTTCCCAAGCCTCTGGTCCGAACGACCCTTGGGCCTCACTATGCCCCCTTGCCCCTTTTACTAGGCCACCAATGACACCACACGAGGCCCACTTCATCAGCAGTTGGAACACCAGTCTAGACCCCAAACCTCCATCCGAATCAGCAACCCTAACCACCCTACCTATTCCCTTCCATGCCGACTGAAAGGGTGAAGCGGCTATCATAACTGATCCAGCATCAGCACGAAAGATGGACCGGCGGAACCTTCGGTTCCACGGGAGGCCTGACCAATCTACGGATTCCAGATCCAAAACAGGCACGCAAACCCTAGATAGCGACCGAAAGGACAACCCCGGGAACATAGCCCTAAGAAAGACCACTTGCTCCACATCGGAAATACCATCTGACCCCTTCTCAATCAGCCGCTCCCTGAGCCACGCCCTCGCACTGTCCACTGTTAGAGAAGCTCCTAGGTCCTGCACCTCCGACTTACTAAGAACCGGCACACCAGCCCTCCTATCCTCGTATTCCCTAAGAAGCATCAGGCCTACTTCCCGGGGGATAAGAGGGCACCCCTTGGCGAGGACCACGTCGAGTGCCCCTTTCTTCGGGTGCTTTACCCTACAGCAGCGCTTACGCCAAGAAATGGTGTAACCCAACTCAACTAGATAGTTAGCCGGAAGGATGACCTGACACTCTCCCACATGAAGCAGAGTACCGTGATCATTGATCCGAAGCTCCGTACCCCCTGAAGCCAAATCTACGCGAATAACCCTGCAATCCTGCAGCTCATCCGCCTGAGCGGGTCTTAGAGCATTCGTAGCTCCACTGTCAATCAAACAGAAATTGGGATCCGATGCGCTGGTAAGGGCACTTCTAACCCAGGACAGGTTAACCTCATCAACCTGAACCGCCTTGAGAGACACCCCCTTCAACAGCTTAGCCGCCTCAGCCACTAGTGCCTCGGTTCCCATCGGAGCTGCCGCGTTTGCAGAGGATCCACTGCCACTGGTCCCGACACCCTCCGACTTTGAAGAGTCCTCGACAATCCCCTTAGCCTGAGCCGCTGCCTTCGCCTTCGCCTTCCCTTTAGCACCAGCCTTAGCAGCCCCTCCAGAGGCTGAAGTAGGAGATGTGTCGGAAGAACTCTCCTGCACAACCCTATTCTCGGGCGCTACGATTGGACAATCTGGGCGGAAGTGCCCAGATTGTCCGCACGCTAGGCATTTGCCTTCCTTGCGAGCCCTCGCTCGGTCGTGCCGAAACATACAACTATCCCCGAACCTGCAGCCCGTGGAGTCCGAAAACTTATGGCACATCAAAGCCCCAGCATCCCCCTTTCCTTTACCTTTAGCCTTGCCTCCCTTTGCATCCCCTTCACCTGGTTGAACCCTGGCTACTGTAGCAGGAACCTCAGGAGCAGCCTTAACACTCGGAGGAGAAGGGGCAGGCTCAGCCTTATTTGGGGCCGGGGCACTCAGGGCTGCATTTCTAGGCCTCTTATCCGCGGGAACCTCAGAGACCAAAGCCGCCGCCTCAAACTCCGCCTGAATCAACCTTACCAGTTGGACAATGCTACCCACTGAGGGATTATAATCCAACCCCGACCTATGCCTAAAAGCATTAACACGAAACCCCAACATAGGATTCATGGATAAGATTGAAGAGGTTGCTTGATCCACCCCTTTCAGAAGCAACGATGGATCAGGCAGCGTCGCCTGAATCTCTCGCGCTCGCTGCAAATTCTGCTGCCAACGCCGCAAAGTGGGAAGGGCATCCTTAAAGCTTTTACACTGCTCCGGCTGAACAAGCTGTGAAAGAAGATGGGCGCGTTCGTTGCTACCTCCAGGCTGCCAAATACACAGCACCCTAAATAGGATCGAAGCCGATCCCAACCATCTGTTCATCACGCAGTCATCTTTGACGGATGCCGGCAATGCAGATAAAAGTAAGGTGACTGCACGACTCTCCACTCGCTGAAACCGGAATGGATCAAAACCGGCTACAACTGAACTGGGATCTATGGCCAAACGGCCTAGAGGGTCAGCTACCAACCACCGCTGGTAAGCCCCGTAAGCTGAAGCCTCTACACACCCATACCATTCAACAGCCCCTGGCGACAACCCAACAAAAATCTGTTTAACTTGAGCTAGCCAGTTGCCGCAAGTAACAGCCGACACCGATAAATCTGCCTGTGCTAGCTTAGGTAGCGAATCCACATAGCGAGCAGGCTCTTCCGGCTTATCTACACCCATACCCATCGCCCCCGGAATCCCCGAGCCCGGAACACCCTGTCCAAACCCAGTAGAACCAAGGAAATCCGCAACCCCTGAATGTGGCGACAACCCAGGCCAACTTGAATCCATCCCCACAAACCCAGCAGACCCCTGAAACCTAGGATCCCCTCCCGGAACCCCGCAATTTCCAGGCGCACCTCGGCACGCCAAGGTCCCGCTCAGCGCGTAAGGTGCCGCAACCGGCGGTGAAGCAGGGGGAGGCAGAACCGGAGGTTTTATACTAGTTCCACCCGGGGACAAGGGATATCCCTCGGGATCAAAACGACCAGCAGCTGTTTCACCCCTAGGAGTAAGGTAACTCTCACTTCCAAACCCATCACCCCCTTGAACGACTCCGGAGCCTGCAACCCTAGCAGCAAA